TCTCTCTCTCTCTCTCTCTCTCTCTCTCTCTCTCTCTCTATCTCTCTCTCTCTTTTACATAGGATCTCACTATGTAGTTCAGGCTGGACTTGAATGTGATCCTTCTGTCTCAGCCTCCTGAGTGTTGGGATTACAGGTGTGTACCACTAGGTCTGACTCCATTTTCTTATGCAGTTAGTTCATGTGGGGCTGACCCCACTGCTTTCTTAATGATCACATGACCCAGTCCTCATTAATAAAAGTGCAAAACCACACTGACTGTTTCCAGAATGTTCCATATGATTCAAGCCAAGCCAATGAGAGAAACACAGGGAATTCCTGGAACCATTTAGATTGACATAGTCTTCAGTTGTACAACTAAGCTAATTGGATGCACTAGTGCACCTGGTGGCATGACACAAAGAGAATATGCTTGAGAATAAAGTTCAAAAGAACAGTTGCAAGAATACATTTCTGAGGATATTAATTAAAACAAGGTTCCAGGCTCATATCTGTAACCCATGAACATTTTGGGATTTTGTGTGTGTTAATGGGGTTTTTTTGTTTCTTTGTTTGTTTTTGGTTTTGTTTCGTTTTGTAACTTAGAACTGAAAGAAAAAAGAATCCTGACTGAGCAAACTATTTGGGTGGTCAAGGAAAGCTTCCTTGAGGAAAAAATTTGAGATGTAATTTGAGATGTGTAGGATAAATGGGAATTAATTCACCGGAGACTAGAGAAGAATGTACCGATCAGACTGAAAAGATGAAGGGAAGGCCAGTGTAGGTGGAATACAGGGAATCTAGTACCACATGAAAAAGGAAAAGCAGTGTTTCCAAAATTATAAGGATTTTAATCTTTGGATTTACAGCCAAAGACACCACTGAGGATTTTTAAGCAAATTGTGATATTATTGCTTTTATATTTTTTAAAAATCAGTTGGTTGGGCTGAGAGTGTAGCTCAGAGGTACAGTGCTTGCTTAGCATGCATGAGGCTCTAAATTTAATCCTTAGCACTGCAAAAAAAGAAAGTTAGTTATTAGATACAAAATAGAATGATGATCGCTGGGCATGGTGGTCCATGCCTGTAATTCTAGCACTAGGGAGGCTGAGGCAGGAGGATCACTGTGAGTTTGAGGCCATCTTGGGCTACATAAGGGAGTTTAAGGCCAGCTTGCACTATACAGCTAGACCCTGTCCCCAAACCGTCCCTTAAAAAAAAAAAAGTTGAAAAGAAAATAGAATAATGGTTATTAAGAGTAAATTCAAGAAAGGAAGCATACAACCTCATCTATGCCATGAAATGTATCTTTAATTTAATCAAAATGATAAACCTAACAACCAATTTATAGAAATATGTGAACATGTTAAAGCCACAAAGGATACAATCAGCCATGTCCAGAATGTGGTATGAATGACCTTGTTCTTTAAAAATAATATTAAAAATAAAAAAGAGAGAGACATGGACATTTTTGGATTGTAATTGAAATAACTCAGTTGCAAAAAACACTTTAGGCAATTGGGCAAATATGAGTTATGTTCTGTTTATTAAATATTAAGAAATAATTGTTTTGTTAGGTGTGGTAATGATATTACAGTTTGACTTTTAAAACAACAGCTGACTTTATCTGTTAGATATATGCATTGAAAAATTTATAAGTGAAATATGATATCCAGTATCTAGGTTAAAAATAATCCAGAGAAAAGATAGAAAAAAGAAAGATTAAATACTGGCAAAATGTTAACAATTACTAAACCTACTGTAATTGAGAATGATTATATTATTATCCTTTTTACTTTTGTAAATGGCATTTGAATTTTTCATTTATAAAAGGAGTTTTTAAGGGTAAAGTCCTGTTGTGGCGGGTAGGAATTGAACCCAGGGCCTCATGCATGGTAGGCAAGCCTCCTACCATTGAGCTAATAAACCCTCAGCCTCTAAAGATAAATTCTTAAAACAAAAAAATTAGATAAATAAAATTTAGAGTTAAAGCAGAATGACTTTTAAACAGTAAAAGTAACCATAAAGCTGTGACATCTAACATATTTGTCACTGAAGGGAGAAAAGCAAGATTTAACACCAACACCAACAAAACAGTAATTGGAGAAGAGTAGAAACATTTCATTTTTGTGTCTTATCCTTTGCCTTACTGCCTCCCTCCAAGAATGGATGCTGTAGAGCAAATTAGAATGCTGTCTAGTCATCCAGTCCAGGGAGGGCTTGGACTGCAAAATGGCAGTGGAGGTGGATTAACATGCCCCTTAATCTATTCAAAAGTTACTATTCATCAGGTTGTCGATGTAGGGCAGCCCACAGGTGATAGTGCAGTAATGCGTGCCTGGTGGCAGCTTAGGTGCAGTATCTTCAAGTGTAGGCATTTGAAGAGAGAACACAGAACACTGGAGCAGAGAAGGGACAGTCACAGGGCACTAGCCTCCTTCAGAGAAGTGAATTTCAGTTGAAGGGCATGGCAGCCTCAAGGCACCCAACGGGGAGGCAGCCAGGCCACTCTTCCCTCCTACTCTTCCTGTTGATTTCTGCAGAGATAATTAGTGGAGGACAAGACGCAGCATCCCTCGAGAGAGTTCTTCACCACCTTCCTCCTGGTGTCCTGAGCAGGACAGGCAGGAGGGAGAGTGAACTGAAAGGAGCAAACAAGCCACCCAGCATAGGTTTCAAATCCAGCATAGATTTCAAATTTTTTGCTTGACTTATAATACGAGGTTAACTGAGATTTGAACGCCGTCTCTCCCGTATGTCTTCTCTAGCCACTTCCTTTTGAAACAAGGATGAGAGGGGATGCTAGTGTCTAAATCACAGCTTACTTGACATAGTGCTTGGCACGGTAAGCACTCAATATATTATTATTGGCTGGGGGTTTAGGTCAGTGGAGCATTTGCCTAGCAAGTGCAAGGTCCTGATTTTGATCCCCAGTACCACAAAGAATAAATAAAAATAAAAATAATGTATTTACTATCATCAAGTCTTTATGGGCACAGTTCCCTGTTTATGAAGTTTTTATTTTTCTTTCAGGTACAACAGAAACTTTAACATTTTTTCTGTTTTGACTTGTGGGTACCACCTAGCACAATGTTTAAAACATAGCACGCGATCAATAATATTTTTTCAGTAAATTAAAACTGAATGAGCCAGGTTCTCCTTCCAGCCACTCAGCAGGTTGAAGTGAGAGGATTGTTTGAGCTTAGGAGTTCAAGAGCAGTCTGGGCAACACAGTGAGACCTTATCTTAAAAAAGAGGGGGAGAGGGAGAGGAAGAGAAGCAGGAAAGGAGAAAGGAAACATTGTGTATCTGTGCCAAGCGTTTTAATATGTCTCATTTCTGTCATTAGAGCACTGATATAAGGTGTCAGTTACAGTCTCTGTCTAGATGTCCCCCAAGAGCCTCATGCACTGAGGAGTGGGCTATTGGAAGGTGATTGGATTATGGAGTCTAGAGCTGAGTCGCTGTTAGGAGGTGGGATCCAGTGGAAAGAGATGGGTTACTGAGTGACGTGGCCTGGAAGGGTTTAATCTGCCTCCCAACTCCTCCTGTGACTCTCTGCTTCTCCTCTGCCAGGTTTCTGTCCTGCTTTGGAGCCAGCTGACTTTGACCTAAAACCTCTACAAACTGTGAGCCAAAATAAACCTTTCCTACTTTAAGTGGTGAACTTCACATATTGTATCTCAAGGAGGAAAGTGACCAAGACAACCCCTGTTTTAGAGATAAGGCTAGCTTGGGGTTTGTACCACTCAAGAAGCTACCCAAAGCAGACCAGCACTCAGAGTCAGGGATGCCTCACTCTGACACCTGTTCCCTTTTCCCTGTACTGGAGGCCTCCTGTAGCTCAGTGAAGGGTTTCTGTATTGAGTGGCCACTCACTTCACTGTGAATCCCAAAGGTTGCATCTCCATTCATCAGGAGCTGGAAGACCACACATGCCTGACATAATAAAAAGGTACTGGAGAACAGGGCCTCTGAATCATCTTCGTGTCTCCATAACATATTCATTTACTGAATGTCAAGTGCTAAAGGAAACAAGTTTAGGACAGCTCAGTGAACTCGCACAAGGTCACACAGCTAAAAAACAACCAGGATTTTAAATCCAGTCTCATAGAGAACATGTACCTCTTGAATGCTGATGAGGAAAAGCTTACACTTTTCCAGTTAACCACATTACATTTTGTCGTCTTCGTGCTTGAAGCTCTGCAGCTTTCCCTCCTGACCTTCCATACCTCCCTGCTAGGGACCACTTCATGTTATCTCTAATGTTACCTACTGTTCACAGTTAAAAGCAAAACAAAGTGAAAGCACACTGTCAGTATATGGGTTGTCCATTTGCTGGATGCAGAGGAGTTTCACTTCTTTATCTCTCAAGAAACGAAGTTTCTGGAAGAGAGTTTACTTAAGTGTCTTTTTTTCCCATCAGAGCAGATGTTTGACCTGGCTGTTTCTGGTAACAAATCAAACCCTAAACCATCATAACAAAGAGCTTTTGAAGAAAATTGAGGTGAAACTCAATTGGGGTCTAACTCAGTGGACAGTGTGTGCTTATTATATGGGTAGCCGTGGATTCAGTCACCAGCACAGGCACACCACACACACACACATACACATTTGAGATGAGAGATGTAAAGCAAGAGACACAAAAGCTAGATGAGTCTGCCGATATTTTCTAGGCACAATGTTAATTTATTGAAATGGTCCTTAGCACATCAAGTTGTTTAATGTCACCCAAATAGTAATAAACTCAATTTTAAATTCATGGCACTAATTTCTGTTCTTTCACAGTTCAACAGTTATATATAAATGTTTGCAGTCATTGCCCTTCTTTAATTCTTCACTGAGTTTATATTTCAAAGTAAACATCTCTTCTGTTGTCTGTAGGAAGTCATAAATTTACAACAAAATAGTAATTAATTGATAATTTCTTGGTTGTTTCCTAGAAGTAGATGGATAGAAGTTAGCAGGGCAGATCTTTACTAGCTGGGGCAGAAGGCAGGAGAAGGAAGGAGGAGTCTAGCTGTGACATCAGTCCGGCAAAGACCTCAGCCACCCCTTTGGGGTTATCTTTCAGGTGATGGCCCCTCAGAGATATCAGAGTGGAGGCTAGAGAGACAGGCCTTTACACCGCCATGGCTGACATTGGCTGCTGGCATTGGCTGCAGACTGAAAGGTCAGGTCATCTCAGGAAAGGCAGTTTTCTCCAACCCCAGCCTATCACTAGAGATGGCTGACAAAACACACCTGGCAGTTGGGGCAATAAGACCTTGTCCAAAGGGAGCACACAGTATGGTATGAAGTGTCCGTCACAGGAGCTACTTCAACGCAATTTTCTTAGTTTCCAAATTCCAAAAGAGCCAGAACACAGCATCATCCAAGTCACAGTACCTTTCATGATTCAAGTCAAGTCAGAAGTCATTTCTCTAGCCCCTATTTAGTTATTCTGCAGCTGTGGCAAAAATATATACATATGTGATAGTTCAGATAGTTATTCTACTAATTTCTCCTTGTTCATTGAAAAGAAAGGTGTGTGCTAGTACTGTTCGGAAAATTAAATGCGTATATATTGCATTCTGAGTAACTAATTTAAGGATAACAATACACAATGTATTAACCATTGTTACCCTGCTATTATCTTGTTTTGAACTTTTGGTTTTTTCTCTTTAAAATAAAAAAGGAAAAGGAGGAAGAAGGAGAAAGAAGACAGAAAGAAAGAAAAAAAAAAAGAAAGAAAGCAAAAAAAAACAGAAAGAAAGAAAGAAGAAAGAAAGAAAGAAAAAGAAAACAAAGAAAACAAAACAATACAAAAAGCGGTACTCTCCCAGTGTTCTACAGAGGGACATATTTCTATACTGGAGATGTTGAAGTTTTCCTTTGTGGGTCAGGCCCCATCTATGGTGAAAAAGCAGAACTAGAATAACTTATATTTGAGATTGTTCTTCTAAAAACAGGAGCCAGGAGCTCATAGAGCTGTGAGGTACTTTTGATATCATCATTTCTCTTGGAAAAAAAGCTTTCTTCTGTTATCTATTCTGTGGAAGCCACAGAATACCTCCTCTTTTAGATTCTGTTAACCATTATGGAATCCACAGGTTTCTATATGTTCCTGAGGTTTTAATTGAAGCCTTGAATCTCCTAAAAACAGTATGGAATTCTTAGTTTGTACAGACTAGTGATTTCTGGGTGGAAAACAGGATGACTCAAGCTGTAAGCTACCTTTTCAGACACAAATGAATGAGGCCAAGGGCTAGAGTCAGACATACCTGGTTTCAAATCCTGGTCCAGTTACTGATAGCTAATATAACCTTAGAAAATGTTGGTTAACCAGTGTGAAACTTGGCTCCTCTTCAATAAACTTGAAACAACAGTAAACCCTACCCCACAGAATCATGAGTAGAATTTTAATTAGCTACGGCTATGTCATAAATTATCCCAAAATCTAGTGACTCAAGACAGCAATTTATTTATTCACAATTTTGCACCCTGGGCTGGTCTGAGCTGGGCGGTTTTTCTCACTGTGGCATCATTCACGGAGCTGCAGTCATGTGCAAACTCAGCTGGGACCGGATGATCACAGTTGGGATGATCAGGACACCTGGGAGCCAGCTGAGCCTCTCTTTCCAACTGGTTTTTCCACTAGGGTAGCAAGATTGCTTCCAGTGCAGCTCCAGAAGCTGCTGGGCCTTTTGAGTCTGAGAGTGACTTTTGCCATATAGTCTCTTGGTCAAAATAGGTCATAGAGCTCTCTGACTTCCCATCCGAACAAAGCGACTTCTTGCTCCCACCATTGCAACAGCCACTGCATTTCAGTGTTGCAATCTGTCATGAAGTGACACAGCTAAGGTGAGCAGGTGTGGGGATCTTTGCCTAGGCTGAGGACATCGTGTTTGGACTTCCAGCCTCCAAAACTGTGACTTAAATAATTTTCTTTATACAGGTTTTTTAAAAGGCAGATTATAAAGCTAGCCTCAAGAAGAGAAACAGTTTTTTTTAAAAGGCAGATTATAAAGCTAGCCTCAAGAAGAGAAACAGTTTTTTTTAAAAGGCAGATTATAAAGCCAGCCTCAAGAAGAGAAACAGACTCCACTGGCTGATAGCGGAATACCGTGTACACAGGAGAAGAGGAGGAGTTCTGGATGCTTGCTCCTTTTGTAGATAATCCACCACAAGGAACACATGAGGTAATCATTCCTAGCACTGCACACAAGTGCCTGTTGGACAGTAAGCTTTTCTTTTAACTTTTTTTTTGAGACAAGGTTTTACTGTGTAGTTCAGGGTGGTCTTGAACTCACTATGTAGCCCAGATTGACCTCGAACTCGTGGCGCTCCTTCTGCCTCAGCCACCCAAGTGCTGGGATTACAGGAATGCACCCCACTCCTGGCAAAGTAAGCTTTTTATACTGAATTGGGTGAAAGCACATTTCTGGTGCCATGTTGCTAGGATTCAAACCCTGACTTTGCAATGTACAAATGTTCAACTGTGGACAAGATTTAAAATTTTTCTCTGCCTTAAATTTTGAACTTATAAAATAGTAGTGGTAAGTATATCTACTTACCACTGGGTTGCTGTAAAGATTAAATGAAATAATAATTGTAAACATCTCAGAACAGTTCATTTTAAAAAGAAACTATTCTTCGCTTTTTTGATACATATGTAATCTCTGGTTTTAAATTAATTTCCTCCACATTGTCACCTAGTTATCTCAACACTCATACCCTTTCTTTTGCCTTGATTTAGTAGTGTCTTTTTAATTTATATATTCAATGATCATGTGTAATAAGGTTCTATATCTGATATTCCTGTTCAGTTCTGTCCATTATTTGAATTACTATTGTGTAATAATGTGCTTTATTTTCTTGAAATCTGCTTTTCTCTGTACTGTGCTTTTTAAAAATTTTTTTATATCTTAACCAATCTAGTGAACTTTGTACTAGTTTTAAGAAAAATTTTATTGGTGTTCATATTAGAATGCTATAAACTGATTTGGGAATGTATCTTTTTTCTCTTCTGGAACCCTTTAGCTCATATCATCTTTATATTTCCAGTAATACAACTTTGTTTTAAGATAACAATACACAATTAAGTATATTTTAAGGTTGTTTTGTTTGTCCTTTACCACTTTCAATACAATTACGCATTATTTACCCATATTTGTAACATGGCTGATGCTAATGGAGAAGCATCTGTTTCATATTCTTAGTCTTTTTTCCTTTCATACCAGACCTTAGTTGTATAAAACTTAATCGTATATCTCCGTTTATTGTCAATATTGAGTCAATTATATCATATCTATTATTGGCCCATTTTTAAAAATTTTATTTTAGTTTCTTTTAAAGTAGATACCAGCTGGGTGTGGCGGTGCATGCCTATAATCCCAGCACTTGGGAGGCTGAGGCAGGAGCATTGCCATGAATTCAAGGCCAGTCTGAACTATGTAACAAGACCCTGTCTCAGAAAAAAAGGAGTACCTTCCAATGAGAACTGCTGTGTTCTACATAAAGAATACCCGTACCCCTAGCCCTTTCTTCTCCTCACTCTAATGTCTTTAATATAGGCTATAAAATGTCCATGTATCCTTGTGGAATATATGGTTTTATACTGTACATGTGTTTTAAGTAACATAATGATAAATGCTATGTATTCTATTTCTTCTTTCCTTCTCAGTATTATGTTTTTATGAGCATCCGTATTGCTGTGTGTATGTGTATAGTTTGTTGCTTCTACCTGCATAACGCTCCACAGTAGACCTGTACCACATTTTATACACCCATTTCCCCAATAATGGGCATCTAGTATGCCTTCAGCTCACCACTACCATGAACATTCCAGTGAAAGTCCTTCTATCACTCTCCTCTAGACCTGTGCCAGAATTTCTCTGGTATATGTCCACCCACAGATAATCGAATCAGAAGCACGCAGTGATTTATTTTCACTCAGTTCTATCAGAATACTTTCCAGAATACCTATACCAGTTACACTATCTCCCCACATCTTTGCCAAACCTTTTAAAAGTTTTTCTAGTCTCAGAAGGGTCAAATAACATAAAATTTTGCTTTAATTTCTATCTGCTTACTAGTAAGGCTGAGTACATCTTCACTCTTTGTTAGTACTTTGGAATTCTCATGCTCCAAATTGCCAGTTCATGTCTTTTGCCTAATTGTCTACTGGGTTTCCAATTTTGTTTCTAATGAAGCACAGAGTTTTGCATATTCTAACCCTAGTGTTTTCCAGGTTTGGTCGTTACTAATATCTTCTGCAAGCAGCGCCCTGGCTCTTAAATTTGCACAGTCACACTCATCAGTTTTCATCCCGTATTCGTATCTTCTGGTCTTGTTTAAAGAGCTTTCCTCCTGATACAGAAAGACACCTCCCTACTGTCTTTTACCTTAGGAGGTAGCACACTGAGACTGAGACTCTTCTACACATCATAAAAATGTAGGGATCTAGCTTGCTTTTTCTTTATAAAATTTTATAGAGTTCTATTTATTTATTTATTTATTTTGGTTCCAGGAATTGAACTCAGGACCTCACACTTGCCGGGCAGGTGCTGTGCCACTGAGCTATATCCCTGGCCCTTCTTTATAAAATGTTAAGCCAACTTTCTCATGCTACCTAAGAAACAATCCATCTATCCCACACTGCTTTGTGGTAAAACAAAAGGTAGCTTTATCAAATGTCAGTACATTTTTCTATATATTTCTGAGCTCCCTACTTTGTTCTTCTGGTCTGTCTTCCTACATGAGTAGGAAGTCACTACATTAGGGAATTGGATAAATATGAATAAAATTTGTATGGTCCTTGGTCAATTATTTTTACAGGTTTTTCACTGAAATTTTGTGAACATTTACTTTTCTTTACCTTTTTTGCCAAAGGTACAATCTATCTTATAGGGGAAGGGGTACATACTTATTAGACTTCTTTTAGAGTGGTAGACAACAGTAAGTTTTATTTAATTACACTTATTTCCTCCAAAAAATATAAAAATCATTAATTACACCTTGACTGCTCAAAGGTCTTCAGGTTTATATCAACGAGTCAGGATACTTAATTAAATCCTTTTCACATGGATTTTTCAGGTTCCTTTCCTGTTCTTCAGTCTCCACAACACAGGTGCCAGGAGTCCAAGGGAAATGTGTCAGGCAACCGAGTCATTGTATGGAATTGATTATCTTACCTACTGGGCCTCTATTCTTTATTATAGTTCAAATCTTAACTATTCCCCTAAAGGATCATGTACTGAAGTCTTAGTCACCAAAGTGAAGCACTGTGGGAAGTGGCAGAATCTTTAGAAGGCGGGACCTAGTGGAAGGAGGTTAGGTTATTGGGGAATTCACTTAAAGAAGATATTGGGGCCCGAGCTCCTTCTCTTTCTCTCTCTTTGCTTTCTGGCCAGCATGAGGTGCACAGGCCTGCTCCATTATTCATTTCTGCCCTGATGTACTGTTTTACCACAGGACCAAACAGATGGGGCCAAGCGACTATGGACTGAAATCCCTAAAACTATAAACCAAAAGAAGCTTTCCTCCTCATAAACCACTCATCTCAGGTATTTTGTCACAATGATGGA